TAAGGAAAATAACCTGTATATACCTGTTCTAATGATATGGTCCGCCATCTTGGATTTTGGCCAATGACGTCTTCAAATTTGCATAAATTATGCATATTTAATGATAGAATTTACATAAAATTATATGGGATGTTATTAATATTAGAAACCATGAGTAACTTGACATAAAGCCCATAAAATTTTATTGTTAAAATAAAAGGTACTAAATTTAGCAAAAATACCTGTCAGAAACCCGTTGCCATGGCAACACAAAAAAATTATTATCTTATTCCAATGATAGAGTATTGTTGCCAACAATATTCTAGGAAAAGTCACCAAGTTTGGCCTTTCTAGCCCTAGCCGTTCAGACGCTAGGTGACATCAAAGTTGGCGCGGGCACTTTTAGCCCCCCCCCCCCCCGGACTAGGTAGGGTTCAGGTTGTTGGAGAGATCTATTGGATATTATTTTAGGATATCTTTGTATCTAGTACTTACCTCATCTGAGCCATCACTGCTGGTGTATGTGGTCCAAGTAGTCTCATCGTCACTGAACTGGAGTTTGTATGACGTCACCCATTGTGCAAAATCCCGTGTGCGACCCTGAGTAATGACGCCCGTGACGTTCGTCATCTGTCCTAAATCCACCTAAAGTGTAAAATTGTTTCGTTATCTGTATCTGTATCAGTATAGCCGGTGTAACCGCCCTTCGGCGTAACACACTAGCTTCGCAGGCACGCGGCGCGGCGGCAGCTAGCTATATCACACCGAACGACTTGTTACACTCAATCTTTGCACATTTAATTGCAGGAGTTGTTTAATGCGTTCTAGTGATGATGCCCCAACTGTGCTTGGTGGCAACGAGTTCCAGTCTACGATAGTTCTGGGGAAATACGAGTTTTTGAACACCACAATTCTTGGTTGATAACTCTGATATTTGAAGGCATGACTGTTTCTTGTTCTTTTCTGGTATCAGATACTTAGTGGTTGGTACGTCCACCAGTTTATTAGTCATTTTGTACATGATGTACAGTCTGGACATTCTACGTCTGTCTTCCAGCGACCCCAACTGGAGGTTTCTTTTCATTTCACGGCGGTCGGTTGCTAGGCTAAAAGTCGCATTACTAGGGAGGTATCGGGTTACAGAACGCGTTCGAACGTGGCCGCGCGGGAGTCCCGGGCCGGCCAGGGGGTAACGGGTAAAATTTGAAAATAAACAAAAGTAATTGGAGAGTAAATACTCGTCAAAACTAGAAAGGCCAATATTTGCTTTGGAGCAAATACAGCGATGGGTTCACCACATTTTACCACATGGCAGGGAAAGAATGAGAAACACAAGGGAAAACAATGATTTACATTGATATAACTATAATATGAAGTAAAATACAACTAAAACAACAGTTGGATAGCTATTCCCTACTTTATTGGTTAGGATTTTTAATTGCATAATGCAAACTGTTGATTTTCAAAATAAAAACGTCCATGCCCGGCATTCCAATGCTGGAGCAGGAAAGCTTGAAATACCTACCAAAACACTTGAATACAGACATACTGTCAGTATGGAAATGCTTCTGTGCAGGTGTTAATCAAGTTAAATCCCAACAGCCAATCAGCAAGAAGTATAGAGGAAAGCTGCATGCCTATTGGTTGATGCCCTGCATTCCATTGTGATGACTCATATGCCCAAAAGTGGTAAACAAGGCAAACTAACACAGTAATACATTTGCTATAACACAGCCAAAAAACTCAAATAAAACCATTCTAAAAGCCTGTATCACAATAATTTAAAAAACGCCTAGGGGTATTTGCCCACTGTACCTCCATACCAAATTTCAGGACCTTAGGCCCCAAAATGAAGAAGCTGAATCCATTTAAAAAATGGCAGGAGGAGAAGGAGGAGGAGGAGAAGAAGAAGAAACATCAGAAAAAGCAATATGGTTTCACCACACCACTTCGTGGTGTGGTGAACCCATAATAAAATGTAATAAGTGATTTTGTTTACCTCAAATGTTATTCTTGCACTGCCTTTGCTCCACTTTGTGTACATTTGCTTCCAAATGAGATCAATTTCGGATTTCAAAAAGGGTTCACGAGAACCAAACAACTGATTTTAAGAGGCCCCGAAAATTAAAAATAAGGTTAAATTTTGGATTTTTAGAAATATTACAGTAAATTTAAACTTTCTGTCTTAGGATTTTTTTATTCTTTAACTAAAACTCGACTTACAGTCAAAAGAAGAGCTAAAAACGCAGTGTTTTAACTTTAAATACCGATAATTCATAATCGCGGCCATATTTAAAAAATCCCTAAGACAGAAATCTGCGGAAATCGTTCCTCTTCCAAACAAGCCCTCAATGAGGTAATTTGAGCGATTTTGGGGAATGGTTAAAATACCATGTCTGCACGCATGCTGTGCCACTTGGATATGGGGACCTGGATTTTATAACAGCGTCAACAAGAATTCTGACCTTCAAGGTCACCCACGATGACGGCAGTAGCTTCGTTACATGTTACATATCCACAATAAAATCACGGCATAGATGTAATGTTTTGAAAACGGTTCATATTTGTGGAAAGGTGGATTTTTCCTGTTCCGTGGTTCCCAAGTAAAAAAGGGCTTGAAGTAGCCGGTTGTAGCGGCTTTACTGTAAATGACCGCGGGTAACCCCAGATCGAACGCCCGCTCTATTCGAATGACGTCATATCGAACAAGATTCGCGGGTTCGGGGGATTCGATCTCCATAGTAGCGGAGTGGGACTTTTGGGCCCAAATCTGATACTAGCACCCCTTTGATAGTTGTTCGTGCAGAATCTTGCAGCTTGGTTCTGTACCCTTTACAGTTTATCTTTGTCTTTCTTTGTATGTGGATCCTATATACTGTCGCGGTACATTCTAGGTTTGGTCTTACAAGCGACGTGTACCCAAGTGATTTTACTCTTGTTGGGCATGACCACAGATTGCGCTTTATCACTCCCAATGTCTGTTTGGCCTTCGCAGTGATGTTGTTAACAAGCGTGCCCCACTTAAGGTTACTTGTCAATGTAACACTGAGATACGGGTTGGTTATAATCTATTAACGTTGGTGGATATATAAAGCATACCCTTACCAAGTTTCAGATGTAATGCGAGGTCTTCAGAACCCCAAATGTACAGATTTTGTCAGAAAATGAAAAAAAAAACAATTTCAAAATCCTGTATCAAAAAAATTAAGAAAAAAAAGTATTTGCCTCTGTACCTTCCTGCCAAATCCCATCTTATTTTGCCTAAAATGAAGAAATTGAATCCATTTAACGAAATGGCAGGAGAAACATAAGAGAAAACAATACATTTACCCTACACTATAGTATGAGTGAAATGTAACGATACGCTAATTTCCATGTAAGCGCTCACTCGGCGGTTCAATATGTGGTTATAAAAAGTGACCGGGCATTACGACACCATATATACCACGCGGCAGGTCATTAACCCCTCATTAACATTAGGTCATTAACAGGTCATTAACATACCTGCAGCCATTGTCCGATGTTGTTTGTTCCGGCTGCCCAGCAGCCTCCTCTGCCACCAACTCCGTTCAGCCGTGCGCGGTAGGCCTCGTGATTGTAACCCCAGATGGAGGATGCAGTGATGCTACCATCAGGTATACCGCCATTTTCCATCCCAAGTGGATCTTGGCAGACTGAAGGAAAATAGAGATATTATTATGTTACAGTTGCATTGGAATGTCCTGTCCAAGCAGTGTTCTGGCGAAAATGTAATAACCATACTTATTATATTAAATTTACTAGCCAGAGAATGGCAGGTCAGATTCATATTTGTTAGCTTTCTGTGCTTCGTCAAGTTACGTTTATACAACATGTCAACCTGTATGGACGCTATGAATCTATTGTATTAGAAACAACCAAAGCACACAAATGAGTTTAATGATCAAGAATAGAAAACACAAAGCCAAACAAAGCTTTCTTAAACTAGAATTTACCGATCTCATACCTTCGCCAAATGATTAATCTTCATGACTAACAAATGATAGATTATTCCCTCTGATTATGCAAAAAGGATCCTCATTTCCATGATCTATATCGGTTGATCATATTCTTCACAAATAGACAGTTCTATGTTAACAAAGAATGCCATTCTAGTATTTCCTCATAGATTTTGCGAATGAGGCTCTTATTTGAATAACTTATGATGTTCACCTTCACTTATCTTTCAAATACCCTAAGTAAAAATTCCAGGCAGTTACCCTTGCTGAATCACAACATTTTCTCATTAAGTATGCAAATTAAGTATTAATTTACATGATCAGAATCTGCCTGTGTTTTCTCGTTCTCAAACACATATACCGCAAGCTTGAATAGTTTAAAGGAGGAGGACATTGTACAAGCCTTACAGTCTTCTTTCCTTCTCCCCTACACTGTTTTTTTCTTTGTTTTGTATTAAGAAAAGGGTTTTGTTTGTGCAAATAAATAAATAAACACTTGATGAATTTACATTAAAAGAATTCACTTAAGGTTTACCTTGTCCAGTAACTCTTGCAGTCGTTGTTATCAGTCCGAGAGACACCCACATCCAGAACCCGAATGTACAAGGACCCGTCATCGTGTTAGCGGACACCACCTAAACATACACCAACATTAAGAGATTTTGTCCTACCAGTTTACAATATCATTAATTTTTAAGCACAAAAACAAACTAAAATCTTATTCCAAAGTCATTGACATCAGCAAAGTACAGATTTCTATACTGTCTTACACCTTTGTATCGGGCGGTGGCGCTGTTGAACCAATCATAAATATAAGGCCACGCCCACATTTTGTTTCTGACAGAGTGCGATGAGAATTAAACATGTAAACAGAGGGGAAAATATGAATGAAAGTAGAAATTAACTAAAACTGAAACATTGACATAAGATGATAGAAATTGCCTGTACTTGCATCAAGACCTTGTTGTCATGTAAACCGTGTATTTTATTAGGCCATAGCAAGTAATTTTTATGGATGGCATCAGCGCGCGCTTTAATTTTTGCCTGATTTGGGAAAAAAATTGGTTTCATTCGGGAAGTGGTCAACATACCGAAAATTGGCAAAGATGTCTGTTGCCATGTCGGAACATGGATGGCAGATAAATATGAAGAGAGGAGACAACGTCCTCATTTATTGCTTTGTCTATTACTTCGATGCAATAATGTATCTAATTCCTTTTATATGTCATGTTTACTAAATCAAACTGTTTCTACAGCGATTGAAAGCTTTTATTATTACAAATGGATGTTGTAACAGTTGGCTGTAACTATAGAACGATACAGGTATCATTTGTTGTTTTGCAAGGTTTATGATGGCAAAAATTGAAAATGTAAAACCCTTGCTTTTTTGAGATGTGAAATGTGTCAAACATTATAAATACTTTTTTAATTATTACTTGTAAGCGAGATTCCATTCCATTTATGTATGGGTTTGTCCTTTTGTTTGAAGTGTGCAAGTTAAACGCCCTGTGAAGAATGGCGGTCTGCCAAGAATGGCGCCATGACAACGGGGAACGCAACAAACGAGCTGGAACGAAAATCTGCCTAAGGACAGGTACATAGTGGAAAAACTCGCACTATTGACATGACCATTCTGTCAATAGTGGAATGACTAGCAGATTATCCTGTCAATAGTACAAATTCTCCATTGTACCATCTCGAGTAACGACTGGCCACCGTTACTGCCCCGCCACCCAGAGGAAGTCTCGACGAGAAGGGGGCGAAACTCACGAGGAAGGGTGGACGTCGACTGACGACGTTGTGGATGTCGAAGCACCCAAGCTGTACCAAGTAAGTCTCAATAGTGTAAAATGCTGTCATTGACAGGATGATAATTCAAGTTAAAACGAGCCAAATTCTAAGGCAACGACATGAAACCCAAGCTCAAAAGGGTTTAGGGCCTGAGCATACTGTTTTGATATCTCATAAATGTTCTATTTTACTTTACATCACGAAGCTTTCTGCAAATACGGTTACTTTGATACATAATTTGTGCTTCGGGTGGTGACTACGAAACGGTGAGATCGGGGATTGTTCTCGAGTTGACAAGGGCTTTGCGTGTGGCATTTTGCCGTACCACAAAAACCACGAGACAATTTGAAGATAGTTAAACACCCTCAAACACCCAAACTTTTTTTGCGACGAAAATGACCGAACGGGCTCCAAATGGACCCTATTTGGTTTCCTTTTACATGTATATTCCTTTTTTTTTGCATTCTTTCAGTAATCTTTGCACATATATTGGTTAAACATAGTAAGAGGTATATTTTGGCATGATTAAGTGTTAAAATATTCCAGCTCATTATCATAATTTCTGCAAAAATAGGAAGAGGCATGTAGGCATGAACATGGGTTGACCTTTGACCTCATATGATTGTCAAATTGTCAAACGTCTGAAAACATGATGAAAACCTGATGACCTAATTACTGAGGTTACTTGGCAAACTGCATAATATTAGAGCAATAATAAGTGCAAATATGGCTGGGGTCTGTTTGGACCCCAGAAGGTCTTACATCAGACTCCCCGTTGTTATTTTACAAATTTGTGCCAAAAAATTTATGAAAACGTGTAGAAGAGGTTTATTGAAAAAGTCAGGGGAGGAATTTTTTTCGAATCCAAAAATTTCAAATAGCACATAAAATACACGCCTGGGGACCCCGGTTTGGGGGTTAAATTTGGTTGTTTTTTTAACAGCCGTCGAGACTTAGAAACCTGGATAATAACCGAAAAAAAGTTATGAACATGTCAATAGCACAGGTGCCACCATATCCACCGATCCTCAGACATGAAGATGGAACTAGGGAAAGTAAATATTAGAACCCAGCTGTCCTTCCTCATCCATTTAGGAGCCAGTTTTTTTCGACTAAATCAGCTAGTAGGGTGTGAAGAGGGGTTCTTACCAACCTGTCGATCAAGTTATCACGGTGACGCCCACTGCAGAAATCTTTCTTTAGCCAATCATCAGCCTGAATTTACGGTCACCCAAGGAGGAGAAGTGTTCTAACCAACGGTTACCAACTCCATAAATCATATTATATTGGAGATGCCTACTTCTGTATCCTTGGAAACATGTTCGATAGCTGACTAACGGCACCTCGGGTGGGCGAAGCAGTTTTATATCCACTAAACTCTCCCCACCCGTGCTTTAACTAAATATTACTTAGATATTGGAAGGTAGAATGTCTCAAACGCTTTAATTCATCACTCATCATCTCGTTTTGAGAATTTTTATCGTACGAATATGTTTCGTCGTAGTCAGTATGCAAATTAGGAATGCCTTGATAACAATGGCGGTCTGTCTGCCAAGACTGGCGCCGTGATTCGTGAGCGTCAGGCGAGCTGGAAGGAAAATCTGCCCCAGGACAGGTTGTCTGTTTTTTGTCTCTGCCCTGTCAAGCAAGTACGCAGTAACTTTAACCACGACAACAGAGCTTCGTACATGACATTCGATCGAGAACTCTTCTGGCCCTCTCCTCTACATAACATACTTTCGTAGCGATCCTCGACGATACCGCGCACACTGATAATCCTCGCATCCAAGTTAGTAGCCTTGATTTCACATTGAACGAGAAATTAAGAGGAATACGGCCCGTTCACAGGCTATAAAGGTTAGTTTGGTTCATTTATTCTTAGTACAGACATAAATAAATGATCTAGTTTTTCCATACTGCTCCGTCCTTTCTTGGTGGTTCATATCAGTTTGTGTTTAATCGGGGATGACACGTATCAATTACTGCGGTCAAAACATGAAATCTTTGTGGCCTAACAGCGTGAATTTTAACAATGGCTTGACATGTAAAATGGGCGTATATGAAGCGTTGTTGTATGAAGCCTATAAATAAAATTACAGGAAGTCTGTTCTTTTACAAAACTCGCGGCATCGAGGTACCCGCAGAAATATAACCTACATGGAATCTACCTCCAGTAAGTGTCAAATCATTATTAATAGTTTGAAGTAGAGCTGTGTACCGGTACGCAGTACCGATACTGTACCGGAAAAATTGATTAGGTACAGGTCCAAAATACCTACTCCCTCAGTACCGGTACTGTACCTAAACAATTTCACACCAATTTTATGCCTATTTGTGACCTCAAATGTGTATAAAGGTGGTTAACAATGGGTCCCTGTGTAAGGACAGCGTGTTCATGAAAACAAAACACTTAGTTTTGCCTATATTTTATCTGAGCATTCGCCATAAACAAAGAATAAACCTTAACTATCAAGTTTATTTATGTTTTTTTTTTGTTATTGAAGGAGTTCAGAAGACCATATAGATTGGTCGAATTGTTCAGGTACAGGTTCAGGTCCGGACCTGTACCTAAACCTGTGTACCTGTACCTGTACCTGTACCTAAAATTTGTTTAGGTACACAGCTCTAGTTTGAAGCGTATTTTAATTACGGGAAGGGCATTACTAATGGGTGGCAAAACATCACGACATTTGCGACAAAGTAGTCTAAATCTCCACAATACCGTTCAGCGTACTCAATACAATTAACTAAACATAACAAAAGGCTTTATCAGCATGTTTGGGCTTTTGAACAAATGGTCAGTACATGCTGCCTAGCTAAACATGCCAAAATCACCTTCTGTGACGAACACGGGGTTTGTAGCGGGCTGCACTTTAAAAAAATATACAAACACATGTCTCAGATATTCTACAGTTATCGCCTTACGTTAGTTTGAAGTTGTCAAACATGAAACTAGTAGAGGTGAGATATTGTCAAGGTCAAGAACGTATTAGTCTGAAATGTGTCGTTTTAACTTGCGCTTTGTTAGATCGCAGACCACGTCGGAGTTGTCACTCTGTTTTCAAAACCAGGCTTGTTTAAGTTAAAATTCGGAAAAAGTAACAAACATGATGTCATTAATACCTGCACAAAGAACTTTAGTGAGTATAAAGTCTTAAGCCTGGACAGGGAGGCTTTGAACGAGACACTGGCTGACACGCGTATCAAACAGGGGGTGTGACAAGCTTCGCGGTGGGGCGGGGAAACATAAACTCTTTCTCTGAGGTAAAGTGGGACAAAACAGCTGAAATTTCTACAAAAGACAAAGAAAAGGGGAGGGGTGTCCTTAGCTGTGGTAAACTCAATGAAAGCAGACTGGGCATCGCAAAGAAACCTCGACCTTTTAAATGAGCGTCCACAAAGAATCCCCGATTGTTCACCCCAGAAAGTTGCGAATTCTGTCAAAGTTGTCTCTTCAGAATTTTCAATAGAAGACAAGATACCGAACGTTGTAACATTATGTAGACCAGGACCATGTTACATAAAAGATATTGCATGGAATAGAAAAAGACAAGTGGACAAAGACAAGTACTTACTGCTTCTGTGATGTCGGCAAAGCAAAGTCGGTTTGTGCCAGGTCGCTGTCCACTTTTCAACTTTATAGTGCTCAGGTATATATACCATACTATTTTTAGATTGACGTAAACGTCATTAAAATCAACGATTGTGATTGGTCAAATGCGATGGCGTGACACTGCATTAAAAGCAGATACTCGGGGGCTCCAAGTTTCTATAATGTATCATGAACCTGGACACACTGCCTGTATCCGGCACACTAGAAATACCA